TACGCCGTAATATTTGCATAAGTTTACAAATCGTAAATCTTACGCAATACTTCGCATTAAAAATATTCCTGATGAAGGAGTAACTAAAATTGTAATTATATAAGCTGCTTAAGATGTGTTAATAGTATTAGCTTATCTTTGAATGTGAATATTGTAATAATCATTGATATTTAATATAAAACTATTTTTTGAATATTTTTTAAGAGAGTTTTTAACATATCTATTATATATATTTGACATCTTTTTTTACAATCTACTGTTTTTATTGTGATAGATACGTCAAGATTTACTATCATGTTCAAACTTTCATTACTTGTATACATTGAATCTAAATAGTATGTAAGATTGATCTTAAAATAATTTATTTTAATACTATTTAATGAAGTGAGAAGATAACATATGAGTAGCATTATTAATCTTTTTATATGATTTATTATTTATTTATTGTGTTTAAGTGATTGAGTTGCTGAATAGAGTTGATTAAAAAAATCAGTCAAACTCAATTCAATTTTCTGAAATATTCTTCATATTTCTTCAAATGCATGAATAAGATCTTCTTTTCTTGAATGCTCTCTTTTATAAAGGATTTTGCTATCGTTTTGATAGCTCAAATGAGATTAATATTTGTACTTATTTTTTTCTTAGCTATGTCTAAGACAATTTTATTCATAATTTCTTTATTTATGATTTTTGTTCTTTTAATATCTCTTTTTAAAAGGTTTTCTATAAGCCACATGTGACAAATAATACATAAAACACTACCCTTTACCTAACTTACCTTTATTAAATCATTTCTTATGCTTCTCTTCATTTTTTTCCTTTAATGAACGGAATTTAGTTAACTTAGTAATTTGGTATTCTATATAATGCTTATTCTTAAATATGTTTTAAACAGTTAATAGTAAAATATATATTAGGATAGTACGGTGAGAAAGCTTCAAATTTGCTTAGAAATCTTACCCACATTTCATTTGAAAAAACGGCAGATGGATGAGCCCTTAAAAAGTATTTTATACTGTATAAAAGAAATTGTGTAACCATTTTCCTTATTTGGAACGATCTCCCTTGTAGATTAACAGTCGATCATTTTCTGCAAGTGATATAATTGAAGTGAGCCAAATCGGCCCATATGTTAAACTTTCTCAATGCTAAATTTACAAGATCCTCAGATTCGTCGTGAACCACAAAGACTTGATCTATCTATTGTGCCAGGCAAAAGTCTGGGGTGGTTTCGTTTAGGTACGTCAATCTTATTTAGAATCAAAATAATACGTTTCTTTTAAATAAAATATTTTTTAGGCACGTCAATTTGGGACATCAATAACTTTATAAGGGAACAATCTCGTATAATTCCTTCTGTGGATTTAAAATATGACGAAGAGGTATTTCAATTATGTTAGAAATACTGTGCCTTTTGAAGTTCCCTTTTTTTTTTTACTTTCATTATTTTTTCATAGGCACCATTATCAACAGATATATTCCTATCTTTAACAGCTAATGGAATTCACATGAGATTTGATAGTGCATCTCAACGACTTAAGTCAATTCAAGTTTCTGATTTCTCGAAATTGAGATTAACATATCATGATAGTGAAGTTAGGTATATAGCCATTTAAATTTTTAAATGTTGAAATTAAATTTTTGAATATGATTATTTATTACATATTTCTTTAGTTCGATCAAAGTTACACCAACTTTTCTTTCAATCTATAAAATTTTTGGGTAAATAATTTATTTAAACGCGTAAAGAAATGCTATTATAAATACTATGTCGGATCATTTTATTGATTTATTTTAATCCAAATTCATAGTCCCACTTATCCAGGAGAGCTTGATAGTAAAAAAAAAGAATACACACTAAATTATCCAGTAAGTAATAGAAAGATTACTATTTTGAAAATTAACAAAAGTAAAATACATAATTTTACATTTAATAGGGTATTTCGTTTGTTTTCCCTATACCTGAGGAACATATATCCTTCTATACTTCCTCTTCCGGTATGACAGATCTTCCAATGGAACTTCCTGATGGAACTTCACCTTTATTATCTCGTTTATATACTTTTCACGGATCCAGTTTTCTAAATGCAATTGCGCCGCCATTACACAGGAATAAAAATTCAGATGGTATTGGGAGCGGTTTATTAGAATTTGAAGTTGAGAGCGTCGTGGCAGAAGTATGAAAAAGTTAATATATTTTTTTGCACGATTTTAAATATGTTAAATGAAAGTGGTTATAAAATAATTGAATCAATGTTTATTATTATAGTTAAAACGTAGAATTATAGTCAATTTTTTAAATAATTCAAATAATGCCACCACAGAAATTGTTCTCAATGTTACTACACCGCAGGATCTTTTAGTTGATATAGGATCACCGCTTAGAACATTTTTCAAAGAAGAAGATAAGATGCGGATACACTCAGAAGATAGCAGTACCAATTATTCGGTTGAAAGTGGTGATAACGGAGATTCAAATTCCTCACCAAATGTCGAAGACCGCTCTCGAGGAGGAGGTATTTTCCTTTGGTCCTAAGTCATAACATACCGGAAAATTTATTTTATTAAATAAATAAAATTTCTTTCTATCGAAGACGCTATTGATTATTTCTACAACTATTTTCATCTTGGTTTTGATGTGCTCTTCGATGGCTCTACACATCGTTGTAAAAAAATCGTATTGCATGGAAATGTACCTGGTCATTTTGATTTCCAAAGGTATGATATAAAATCTTTTGATGATCTTTATTAGCTGGTGAATTTAAATTTGGATTACTTATGCGTAATACGAATATAGGTATAAACGATGTCCTTATAAGATATTATTACCTAAAGTTTCATCTAATTCACAGATTTCTAATGAAGGTTTTTTTTTTTTTTTGAAAACTAATTTATTTCCTGCAGTCCAATTTTTTTTTTTTTTTTTTTGGAATATTAACGTTTTTATATTATAATCCATATCAGTTGCTAAACTAGAAGTTCTTGAAGATGATGATAATCAATCGACATCACAATCTCCACAAATTGTGGATGATTTTATTACTTCAGAAATGAAGGTAAGTCTATAATACAAACGAGTAAATAGAAAAAGAGGGTATTGAAATGTGATATGGCTATTAATTTTTTTAATTTACAGATGGATCAAATTCGAGACCTATTAGGTCATCCTTCTGGCCATCCTCTAATTTTTAACCGAGGAGCTGGTGGACAAAATCCGTTTGGTCCTACCAAATTAAGTGGATACGATGGGGTTGTATTTGAAGTATGCATTTAATTCAAGTTTTTTTTTAAAAATAATTTTTTATTTAACAATTCAAAGTGATTAATTTTATGTTTTGTGGTTAATTAGGAAATGAAAAACGGTTGTGTTGCTACAATTACATTATTTTGATTTATACAATAATACTCTTGAAAATTTTTATTAACAGTAGTGCAATTTTAATTAATAATGTCAAGATAATTAAAAATCTTTTTTAATAAATCATATAAATTTGCATATTAAAAAAAAATTTCGAATGATTATCTTATAATTCAAAATGTTGTTTATCATACGGATATAGCACCATATCATCTCGAAAATTTTGTCATACTAACATAATTTGGTCGTACAACGATCAAAAAAAAAAAATTTTTTTTTATCTATAAATTTTTTTACATTAATTTTTCTTTTTCTTCGAAAAAAAAAAAGGAAAGAAAAAAAAAAACGCGTGACCATTTCTCAAAAGTGCACATTATGACCGGCTCGGGTGAAAAAGTTTCAACAACAACGACACCTACGATCACACCGTGGAGTTTTAGTTCTATTCTTAATGGAATATCAGAGTATAGAAAGAAACTTAACTTGCCCAACCCGGGCACTTTTGAAGGTCTTCATAAAGAGGTTAAAGGTACGAATAAAAGCTCCAATTTTAAAGCAATGAAAAAAAAAAATTATTAAATAAATAATTGGCTGTCACTAATATTTAAGATCGCGTTCTGGAATTAGGGAATACGCGTGTTCATTGGTTACATTTTTTCGAAGAAAAAAAATTTTTTTAATTTTTTTTTTTTATTATTATTTGCAGCCACGTTTCTGACGAATCACTTGTTTGATGGAGGTAGAGCTGATGTTACAAAGGTTCTATCGCAACATCTTCAAGTGACTCATTCGTTCTCAATGGGTTCAACAATAGCTCCTCCAATGTATAATTTTGGGGCTGCTTTCATTGGTATTAAAGTGAGAATTAAAATTTTTGATTTTGCATATTTAATATATTTTTATATATATATATAAATCCATTCTTATTGTGATTATAATATTATCAGTCTTTTCTTCATGGTTCTATTGATACAGAAGGAAACTTGACAGCACGCATGAATTATGCATGGGATGCAAATAATATAACAAAACTTCAGGCTCATGTGAGGAAATTATTTTTAAAAGATACTAATAGTTATTAGGTTTTTTTTTTTTTAAAAAAAAAAAATCGTTATATTTAAATTGCTTATAATGTTTCTTTATAATGGTCATATTGCTTATCAAGATATCACCATCACCAGGGCATTCAATGCTTCAATTAGAACAAGATTATCAGGGATCAGATTATTCTATAAATTGTAAAACTATTAATCCTTCGCCGGTTGAAAATACTGGGATTTTTATTCTCAGTTACTTTCAATCTGTAACACAAAAACTAGCATTGGGAGTTGAAAATGTATATCAGAAGCCAACTCCTGACATTGAAGAAACCACCAGATCTTTGGTAGCAAAGTATACCGGGAAAGATTGTATTGCAACTTTGCATTGGCAAGAAATGGGTGCTTTTCAGGCATCATACTATCAAAAGATCAACGAAAAAGTAGACTTTGGAACAGAATTACAAATACTTACCGCATCAGGCCGGAGAGAAGCGGTTTGCACAGTAGTATGTAGCTGATCTGGTGTTAGTCTCACTTTGTCAAGAAGCCAACCAAGCCGATGCTAATTGTTCGAATTATTTTCAAGGGTGGTAAATTCGATTTTCGAGCCGCTACTTTCAGAGGCCAGGTAAGTAAATTATTGTATTTCAAATTTTTAAGTTCTATAGATAAAAACTTATTCCATAATACATCGTATTAGATTGATACAACGGGACGCGTTTCAGCCGTTATAGAGCAAAAAATCGCCCCGGGATTCAGTTTTATTATCACCGGCGATATCGAACACATGAAGGTAAGTTTTTTTTTTTCAATAAAAAGATTTAATATATTATTAATTTCAACAATGATTAACGAATGTTTGTATTATTTGGATTGAATCACGGTCTCTGTTAGAGCACATCAAGATTTGGTGTAGGAATTCAATTGGAGGCATAGAATTTTTTAATATGTAAGATAGATTAATCAAATTCAAAAAAAAAAAAAAAAAAAAAAAATTTTTAATTAATCAATCTGAAAAAATTCATTCATTATTATTTAATCTGACATTTCACATGAATTTTTATTCTTTCCGCTGGTATCGTGTGTGAGGATTTTCTTCCAAGAACAATCTGAATTGATGTTTGAAAATTCACCTAAATATGATTACTTAATTATTACAACTTTGATAATTGATTTTACTATAAATAAAAATTCAAAAACCACTAAAGCTAGCAACAAATCATAATTCACACGCATGTAAAGAGTATTTATATAAATTTTTATTTTTAAAAAAAAGGTGTTCGAAAATGAATGAACACAGTTAATTAATGCATTATATGCATATGCATCAATCAGATTATAATTTATTAAAAAAAAATAGATATGGATATTAAATGATCACAAACAAACACCCCACCTCCTTATTTGACCATAGATTTTTCTGTAACGATTTATTTTATTTAATTTTTAACTGTTCTTTTTATTATTAATATCAAGTCACTCATTTGGTTTTATTTTTTTTTTTTCCTTTGGCTTTTCAAACTTTATTGCAACTCTAGTTGCTTTTCTTATTCTAACTATAGTCGGACACTATCCTACTTTGCCTTACTATAAACTTAACAAGAGGAATTTTCCATCACTCGCTCTTATATTATTTCTTTTATAATTTCGAAAGATATTTTTCCTATAATTTATTTCACAGAATAAAAAATTTATAAAGTTCGTGTGAATGCTTGCCGAAACTTCCAACCCCAGAGACTCTTATTATTCTTCATTATATGACGAATATTCGTCACGTGGTGAAGAAAGAGCATATATTGTCGGTTCAACGTGGAATCACGCGGCAAAAACCGTGAAAAGACGGCCTTCCCTTAACTTGCATCCTCGTACTAATAGTATAAGCAGCCTAAAACGGCAACCTTCTTTTGATTGTCCTTCACCCCCTTCTCATTTGGTATCTTCAAATTCGAATCCTATTAATTCGTTATTTAATTATACGGCCTCTGGTTCTTTTTCCCCTTCACCACCAAGTCCAGGATATGTTTTTACTCGTTTTAACTCATATAATAATATAGGACCTAGAGAAAGTCTTACTGGTAAACAATCCGATGAAAGAACTAGTAGTTTATCGGTCCCTATGGACACGAAAAGAAATAGCGCGGAGAATCGTGCACCCTCCCCTTCAGAAAGTAGTATCCTTGAAGATTATAATGACTATCACACAAGGCATTCTTCTGCAAGCAGTTTTGAAGATGTATTAAATACAAATAAGGCAAATACAACCAAAAAAACTTTACGAGCTTCAACTCAGTCACAAATCAACTTAAATGAACAACAGCAACAAGTTAGAACATTTTCACGACAAAATTCAACTCGATCACGATCAAGCATCAATGGACGTGTTCGACAGAAGCAAGATTGTGATGATAGGTAACATATTTCTATAAGTAATAAATTTAGAAAAAATATGATCAGAGGGATGAACAATTTGACACCATTGGGTTTGGAATTTATTTGTTGTTATATTGAAATTGTTGAAAGGCGATAATATTAAAAGAAATAACTTAACAATCTTATGCGTATAAACAATTTTGAAATTCTAATAGGGATCAATATGGTTTTAGAAGATCATATCAATGGATTACCAAAAAGGAATATACTGAATTTGAGTCATCTTATGTTCAAGTCCTACATCGACGTAAACAAAAATGGGATATTGCTATTGAAGAAAATGGCGGTGTTATACCCGGCAGAAATTCAAAGAGTGAGTTATATATTTTTAATCTAATAAAATTTTAAAAAGACAGAGCCAATCCACGTACAAATACTATGTAAAAAAACAGCTGTAATATAATAAACGCGAATTTTCAATTTATATTAACATATTGCATATTATTATTAATTAATTAAAGTGAAACGATATGTACGGAAAGGTGTACCGCCATCTCTACGAGGAAAGGTATATATATACACATGTATTGGTATAACTATTTCTTTATCATCATTAGATATTAATAATTAAAAATATGCATATTATAGGTGTGGTTTCATTATAGTGGTGCAGAAGCGAAAATGAGGGATCATATGGATTTTTATCAACAACTATTGATTAAAGCACAAGATCCACGGTACGAAAATGAGTACGTGGAAATTATTGAAAGAGGTTTGGATAGATAAAATTTAATAATTAATGACTTATGAACGAAGAAATATTAATTGTTTTTCTTTATTATTAGATCTTCATCGTACTTTTCCTGAAAACATTAAATTTAAATCGACAGTAGATTCAAAAGATGGGAGTTCATCTGTTTTATCGACCGATAATGTTCCAATCATCCAATCACTACGTCGCGTGCTTACAGCCTTTTCATTATTTTCACCTAACATTGGTTATTGTCAATCTCTTAATTATGTGGTCGGAATTCTTTTACTCTTTATGGATGAAGAACAAGCTTTTTGGATGCTGGTAACCATCATTCATGATTACTTGCCTGAAAATATGTATGATGTAACGATGGAAGGTGCAAATGTTGATCAAGCTGTACTTATGATGTTCGTAATGGAAAAGATGCCACAAATATGGAATAAATTGAGCGGAGGATTTGGTTGGGATATAGAGAAACTCGATAAGAATATGCCAACAATTACACTTGTAACCAGTCATTGGTTTTTAACTTTATATATCAACATTTTACCAATTGAGGCAAGAATTTTCAAATTTATTATTAAACATTATTTTATAATTTATGATAACATATTTACTCAATTAATTTTATTATTATTATTATTATTATTATTAGACATTATTAAGAGTTTGGGATTGCTTATTTTAGTAAGCATATTGTTTATTATAACCGATATATATATATATTATAGTATTATTTACTAAAAAATATTTTAACATTTTTAGTGAAGGCAATAAAGTGTTGTTTCGTGTAGCTTTAGCAATTTTAAAATTAAATGAGGAAAAGATTTTGGCAGTAAACGATCCGATGGAAATATTTCAGGTGGTTCAGGTAAAAAAGTTTTTTTTTAAAAATTTTTCTCTAAAAAAAAAGTAAACTTACCTTTTTAATGTTTAATCTCATAGAATATGCCAAAGAGTTTGCTTGACTGCCATAAACTTATAGACGTAAGTAAAAAAAAAAAAAAAAATATTTATTAACTATATCATTTTACGTATATTCTAATTTATTTATTATATTAAATAGTTATGTTTTCGTCGTCGTAAGGGATTATCACAGAAAGATATTGACAAACGTAGAGAATTTTTCCGTGAACGAAGGAAAAAGAGAGTAGGATCGATGTTATTAAAACATTAAAAATATAGGTAGATGCCTATAGTTAGAATTAAGATTTGTCTTGGTCAAAAATTGATTTAACGATCCATTAGTAAAAAATTATATTATTTATATTTTTGATTGGTTGGTTTTATGAATTTTTTGATTATTATGAATTTTTTTTTTTTGTCGGATTTTTATCATTTATGGCACATTGATTGTATAAACATTATAAACATTGTAGTATTAGAATTTTATATTTATCATATTTATAGATACACATTACACATAATTTTTTTAATTTATTTTGAAACTTTAATCTCTTACTGTTAGTAATTGATTAAAAAGAACGATATGTAAATTTTAATATATTGTGTTGTCCAGAATTTTTAATTGACTGCAATGACGTGACGTTACAGATGCAAGTTTTGGCAATAATCAGCTTATTTTATTTTTATTATTAATTATTTATTTTTTGTTTTTTTTAAAAAAAAAAGTAAATTTGATATTCAAACTTAAAGATGAATTAATGAACCTGAATATTATTAGTATCCAAATCTACAAATTTATTATGAACCTGTAACGATTGTAAAATTTCTCTTGCAACATTCAATACAGAATTTGGCATTCCTAAATGAATTAAATATTAAATTAGCAATTTTGATGATCACTAATTAAAAAATTCACAATCTCACATACCCGCTAATTGTGCGGCTTTGATTGCTGCTGAATTTCGATTTACGCCTTTCTTTACTTTATGAAGATAATGAAAACTTCCATCCTAAGTATTAAATATAATAAAAATTAGAAGAAACCTCATTTTTTAGTATTAAAAAAAAAAATTTAAATTTTATTTAGTTACCAAATTTTCCTGACTATCAGTACAGTAAAAAGCAGCATATTCAAAATTCTTTATCATATTTGCTAATTCGTGAAGATGTGTTGCAAACAAAGTACGACATTTATTCTTATAATGCAATTGATGTAATGTTGCAAAAGATATAGCGATTCCATCTAAAGTCGTTGTTCCTCGACCAATTTCATCCATTATTACCTTAATTTCAAAAATTGATAAATTATTATTAAACCTAAAATGATATTTAATGTATGAAACACGAATACATACAAATGACCTTTGCGTAGCATTTTTAAGAATATTTGCAGCTTCGATCATTTCAATCATGAATGTTGATTGATCCTGATACAAATTATCAGAAGCACCGACCTAATAAATCAAATTAAATTATTATCATAAAATTATGAATAACATATACTTGTATACAATACAACATACCCTACTAAATATTTGATCCACTATCCCAATTTCTGCATAATCAGCAGGAACATATGAACCGATTTGTGCCAAAATTGATATAATCGCGTTTTGCCTTAAGTATGTACTCTTTCCTCCCATATTTGGACTTTAATATAAATATTAAGGCACATTAGACGATGATAGATTCAAATAAATAGATTCAAAAAGAATTAAAACAAATACCCAGTTATTAATAAAACTCGTTCTTTATCTCCAACGTAACAATCATTTTTTGTAAATTGACGTTCTTTCATATGAAGTCCAGATTCCACAATTGGATGACGGCCTCCCGTAACTTTATGAGAATTACTATATATTTTTTTATAAATTGTAAAATGAGCATAAATAAATCAAGAAATTAT